TCCAGGTGATCTAATGCGAAGGTTGCATTCCATTGACAAAATCTCTTTTGCGTGATTTTCTATCCAGTTCAAAGTTAACTTTCTTTTTTGGTCATTTACGCCCAGCATATCTGATAAATTCTCGTTTATCAATGTGGCAGATGATCCTTCGTCTAAAAATGCGTATGTTCGAATGATCTTGTTGTTTGGTCCCATAATTTCTACAGCCAAAACCTTGAAAAGCAATTTTGAAGTGTTTGGCTTCATCGTATTTATCGTAGCCTATTGCGGCTCAACTTTCTATTCCTCTTTAGCATCTTCTGGGTGTAAAGACACATAGTGCTGCTTCTTGCATCCATTTTTCTTACACTTGCGTTGGTATTTGCAAAATGTCAGTGTTTCCCTTCCGAAGGCAACCATAACACAATCGAAAATCCTTAACGATTTTCCATTTTTCTTTTCTTTCAGCCTTTAAATATTGTTCACATTTATTTAAATAATGTTCACCCTGACAATGAAGACATTCCACTTTGTTCCGGCTATGTTCTTTTTTGGAGGAGTGTAATATAGAACTTTGTGGACCTTTATATTCACCCTTCGACTGTTTTACGTTAATTGGGCCTGCAATCGTTGCTCTTGCTATACTTCTGGCTATATTGCTCAGTCAGTTGCTAAAGTTGTCCAAATTATGATAGGGCTGTATTTGCGATGAATATTCAATCCATTGAATACGTTTACTAAGTGGCATCTTTCCTACCAAGCTTTCTATCAAAGATGGATTCTGTAAATGCTGAGCAGCATTAGCTGATTTCAAAAATATTACTAAATTATCTAGTTTAAAAGCAAATACGACTAGCTTTTCTAGATTATTCTCTGTTACAGCTGCTATTTGATTAACCATATTCATTTAACTACTAATTGACATTTCTGGCCTTTCATATGTAAACTGTAGTCGTTCCATAATAAACCCAACATTTACAGAATTAATTAATAGGCACTAAACTTCTTCTCTTGCGCCTCCCTTCAGACTCTTTTGCAACCTCAACAGGTTCTCCAAATTTGTATACCTATGTATATGCATTCGATGATTCCCAAAACATTGTTGAGAATACGGGCCAAGACACAGGGTTGCCATCAAATTCTGGTAATTTTCGTGGGTTTATATTTCGGGTGTGCTGATATTCATTCAAATTACCATTAATGTCAGCATGCAAATTGTCTCCACCAACATTATCAAACCTGTATATACCAATATTTCTGTTGACATCAATATTTCGAAAGGGTTGACTTCTAGTTGCTTCTCCAGCAGTGCTGAAGCCATGTCTTCCTTCCGTAGTTCTAAAACCATGTGCACCTTCAGTAGCGCCAGGATTGAGTACGCCAAGACCATGTGTGCCCCCAATGACACCGAGATTCTGTGCGCCTCCAATAGCGTCAGGATTATGTGCGCCTCCAGCAGCGCCTCCATATGCACCAGGACCATGTGTGACTCCAATGGCACCGAGATTCTGTGCGCCTCCAATAGCGCCAGGACTAAGTGCGCCTCCAGCAGCGCCTCCATATGAACCAGGACCCTGTGTGCCTCCAATGGCACCGAGATTCTGTGCGCCTCCAATAGCGCCAGGATTATGTGCGCCTCAAGCAGCGCCTCCATATGCACCAGGACCATGTGTGCCTCCAATGGCACCGAGATTCTGTGCGCCTCCAATAGCGGCAGGACTGTGTCTCCTCCAGCAGCGCCTCCATATGCACCATCAAGACCATGTGTGCCTCCAATGGCACCGAGATTCTGTGCGCCTCCAATAGCGCCAGGATTATGTGCGCCTCCAGCAGCCATAATCACCCTGTTGTCTTGCTTCTGCAGAAATTTATTTGGTTGCTCCGGGTGTACCAATGTACGCTTTGCTTCCTCCATTGTTTCACATGCAGATCTAATATCATTTTTGTACATCAATCGCTTTTCCAACAACGTGACTTGGTTTTCCTGACCATCAATTCGGCCATTTAATTGATCTTTCATGTTAGCTTGTTCTTCTTTTATGCTTTTCATCGTATCCATTAAATCCCGGAAGATGTCATTATTCGAATCCTTTTCTTTTGTTTCCACCATTGTAATTTCCCTGTCGGAATCCATATTGTCCTCTGAGTTTGATCCATGGTTTGATCTTGGTGTAGATGTACCAGGCATGTCGCTCTAATAAAATTCCAATTTTTTCTTGCTGCGCAGATTCATCTCCGCATATGTATTAACTTTTCAAAGTGTGCACGGCTTCGTACGTGCATGTATTTGTGAATTTCACCACTTCGTGAAATTTCTCTTCGACGGTCAAAGTTACAAATTTAATAAAGATGTTACCACTCCGTGTGGTAAATAACACTAGTCAACACGATTTTTCCTCAAGGAACAAAACGAACTTTTTCTTAAAGATTTGGGGCTTAGAAATGGTTTGATGATATTTTTTTTTTTTTCTATGGCAGAACTTTTTTTTGAAGAATTTTTGAAAACTGGTATTTTTTTTTTAAGCTTTTTTCAGAGGTAGCGCTTGTTTTTTTCACATAGCTCTAGTATCTTACGTCTGGTTGTAAAGAACTTTGCTAATTTGAAAAGATAATAAAAACAGCTAGAAGTTAAGCCCAAACACTTTGTGATTACAGCTTACCGTCTGGGAAATATAAAGCATTGAAATGCAAAAATGATGATTTTTGTGCGGTATTTTTTACGAAATTTTGACTTTAAAAACTCAGGAAAAGTCGAAAAAAAAGTATATCCTGTGTATTCTATTTTTTTTTGTATAGGTGCATTAATTTGGCGTCGTTCAAAGTATCGTTCATTAAAATCTATGGAGAGACTTTGGAGCTAAAATTCGTTAACTAAACCTAAAATATGGGAAAAATGAACAAAAAATACCTTTTCGATGGTTGCGGGCCCAACTGCCAATTGGGAACAAAGCAAACAAAAAAGGGTTGTACATTTGGTACCTGATCGCGATCCCGATTCCCAATGGGAATTGGGCTCGCAACCTTCCAAAAGTTATTTTTTGTTCATTTTTTCCATATTTTAGGTTTGGTTGCAACCTTCGCAACCTTCCAAAAGTTATTTTTTGTTCATTTTTTCCATATTTTAGGTTTGGTTAACGAATTTTAGCTCCAAAGTCTCTCCATAGATTTTAATGAACGATACTTTGAACGACGCCAAATTAATGCACCTATACAAAAAAAAATAGAATACACAGGATATACTTTTTTTTAGACTTTTCCTGAGTTTTTAAAGTCAAAATTTCGTAAAAAATACCGCACAAAAATCATCATTTTTGCATTTCAATGCTTTATATTTCCCAGACGGTAAGCTGTAATCACAAAGTGTTTGGGCTTAACTTCTAGCTGTTTTTATTATCTTTTCAAATTAGCAAAGTTCTTTACAACCAGACGTAGCATTGGCTTTATATTTCCCAGACGGTAAGCTGTAATCACAAAGTGTTTGGGCTTAACTTCTAGCTGTTTTTATTATCTTTTCAAAATAGCAAAGTTCTTTACAACCAGACGTAAGATACTAGAGCTATGTGAAAAAAACAAGCGCTACCTCTGAAAAAAGCTTTAAAAAAATACCAGTTTTCAACAATTCTTCAAAAAAAAGTTCTGCCATAGAAAAAAAACCATTATTCTTTAAAAAATTTTAAAGCCCCATATCTATCAGAAAAAGTCGGTTTGGATCCTTGAGGAAAAAAAAAGTTCGATTTTGTCGAGTAGTGTAATCAACAACAACACCAAATATAATCTTTATGCTTCGAAATACATTTATTTATGCAAGCACTACAGTTATGATTTATTAAATTGTGTTGTCGTGCCGCCGTTTTATCTTTTACTCTCCTCTCCGTTCTATTTTTATAGAGATCGGCGACGCGACTTTATGCCAATATTTTACTCGCTTTCAGAAATATGGATAGCAGTCCGATAAGTTTAGAAAAATAATTTTAAATTTAAATTAATTTTAAATGCACCCAAACCACCCCCCAACCCCCCTTGGCGCGACACTGTTGCCCGGTGCAAAATATCAATATGTGGTCGAAGTTCAATAAGGTAATAATAATATATGTTTAAGTGCAGACGGCTCCGGTTTTCACTTTCGCAGACTTTCCGACGCACTTTTTAAAACGAAAAGTTTGGAGCTCCCGTTTTCCCTCTAAAATCTCTATCTCTCATAACAAAGGATTTTTGGAAGCAATACACTAAAGCGTGCGCTTAACAGCACTAATTGTTCTCTAAACAGAACATGTGCAAAGACAATATAAGTATAAGATGCGTAACGCTGATACATTTCAATTGCCATATGCAAGACAATTTTTCGGCCAGCGACGAAATTCGCGCCATCTCGCTCGCACAAATTTGAGAGCGTACGAATCTAAAAATAGAATCCGCTTGCATGTGTGAGTACACACAGAACCAGCAAGTGTGTATGTGTGCGTTCTTGTGCTAAGCGGACGATTTTCGAGACGGAAACCTTTTTATGAGTTGAGAAACGAAATTATTTACCGGGTTTGAATACGTTGCATGCTAAATACCCTACATATATGAGTTTTTTAATATTGGGGTGGTAAGCGTCCTGCAAAATTAACTTACACTTATAAAGTGAAGGGTATATTTCGACAGCGCTGTAAAAAACGTATGCATGTGCACACATACAGTCGTCGCGACGACTCGGCCCGGCTTTCGCATCGGCAAAGAACTAACTTCGTGTGCCTTCGTATGCTGTATGCATACAAGAGAGCGGCTGGCTCTAGATCGCTCTCTCTCTAAAAAATTTCAAGAGAGCCTGGTGCCAGCTCTAGAGCCAGCATTCAAAATTCGTGTGCAGAAATTTCGTATGGCGTTACGCATCTTATACTTATATTGTCTTTGACATGTGTAAGTAAATCATCTTAAAAACGAACGTTTTGGTTGAAAACGTAAAAAGAAAATGTATGTGAAATCCGGAGCCTGTCTGGTAATATCGCTTTTGGTAGCCACACCCCATTCAATATTACCTGTCTTATGAGAGACGCATAAGTAAAAGGAGGTCGTACATCAGCATTCTTGTAGAATTCTCTGTTTCGCTGTATTTCTGCAAATGACATTATATTTAATTATAATTATATTACATATATTATATTTAATTATAGAATTTTAATTCAGACTAAAATAATTATTCGATCGGACTGTGTTTCTGCAATCTGGTATAATAATAATAATATATTATTATAATATAATGATTATTTTTCATGATTATTCGTAAAATTTTTATTTCACCATTAAAGTTGGTGGTGGGGTTCGTGTCCAATTCGATTGAAACACACTTAATATATGTAGTATGATGTCATAGGAGTATAAACACCCAATCCGGTTTCTCTTGCTCTTAGCACTCAGATACAGGAAGGATGAAGACACAGAACTTTACATAGTGCCAAAGAAGTCGAACTTGACTTTCAAGGAAATTGTCTGGAAGGCAGGGAGCCGGCTTTCTCACAGGGAGGTAGATATCAAGGGAGACAGAAGTGATCTGTCGTTCTAGCCACTGAGAAAAAGGGGATTAATTTTTTTAATTATAAAAGAAAACAAATTTTCCGCAGCAGCAAATTGTGTGCTTTAGATGTTTTTCATGGATGGTGGATGGTAGATGGTGTATGGTGCCAGTGAGAATCGGAGTTTATATGTCATAGCTATTATATTTATTTTGGTGAGTTAAAATTTGGATGCCATTCGATATAATATTATTAAATATAGTAGGATATTTTTTATTTTAATTCGCGAGCTCTGCAGCAATCGGTTTTAAATCGTCAGAATCTTGCGACTTACGGAAACCGGAGCACGCTTTGTTGCGAGTTGACTGTCAAATCGCAATTTTTTACGATTTTCGATAACCGGAGCATGTGTGATAGTTTTTTTCTATGACTACAGATTTGATCGGATCAGTCGCTCGCTTTGCTGCCCGCTCTCATATAGCTTGCGCTCCCACTTTGCGTTCTTCGTGAACAGTGATTCAACTGCTATCAAAAAAAAAAAAAAAAACACAACATGAATATCTTCTGCAGCGCGAAGAAGTGCGTATTCGGTGACACCATAGCCGGTGATCTATACCTTAGCTGCTGGCTGTGTGACAATTTTGCCCATTTAAAATGTGTTGTTGGTCGGCTACATGATTTAATTTTAAGACGTTTTTGCCTGACTTGGTCATGTTTAGCTTGCCGGGATTTTGAGGCTGAAATGCGTACTTTTATGAGACAGACTCGAACTGGTTTTCTAGATGTCCGGAAGCAATTTGTCGCTCTCAACGAGAATTTCCTGAGCTTAGAATCTCAATTTCTTGGCCTCAAACTTCTGAGTGAATCTCCTAGACGGAAAATCCCTAACAGCGATAACAACAACTTCTTGCAACATAATGGAATCGGAACGCCTTCTTCTCACCTACATACATCAAGCCAACCAAAAATGTTGGCCAAGAATTTATTTTATTCGACTTTTCCCGATTTTTTAAAATCAAAATTTCGAAAAAAAAATACCGCAAAAAATTGATGAAATTTTAATTTGAAAGCTTAATATCTTCCAGGCGTTAAGCTGCAGATACAAAGGGTCTGGGTTGGATTTATAGCTACCTTTTCAGCTGCAAAGCTCTATGCAACCAGATATAAGATACTTAAGCTATGTAAAAGCTTTGGTTCTATGCAGGACCTGATAAAGTTCCGAGCTGCATTTTAAAGTATTGTGCTCGAGCCCTATGCCCTATGTTACTCGTCAATTGCAACACGCATGTCGTAGTTCAATATCCCCGTCGCAACATGGTTTTTTTAGTCATCGATCAACATCGACTAACCTTATAGAGTTCTCGTCTCTAATCAACCGAGGCTTTCAAAGCTGCTTGCAAACTGACGTAATTTTTACAGATTTCAGCAAAGCTGTTGATTCTGTTAATCATACTCTGCTGATCCATAAATTCTCTCTGTTGGGTTTTCCTCCAAATCTCGTAAATTGGATATCGTCGTATCTGTCAAACCGCACACAGCGTGTTGTGTTCTCTAATGTTTTGTCAAATGTCGTGAATGTAACCTCAGGTGTTAACCAAGGAAGTCATTTAAGTCCGCTGCCGTTCAATCTGTTTGTGAATGACTTACCTCAAGTTATTTTTCGCTCAGTTACATTAATGTATGCTGATGACGTCAAAATCTGTTTTTCGTATTCCGATTGGTACTCGCACACTCGCCTTCAACTTGATCTTGATGAATTAAATAAGTAGTGTTCGCCTAACCTACTGTTTTTGAACCTCTCTACATTTGGTCTCCTACTCTCTGGGACAACATGCTCTGGATCGACCTAGGACCTAGGACCTAGGATTCCTGTTTGATTATAAACTATGCTTTAACAGCCATATTGCTTTAACGGTGAACAAAGCCAAGGGAGTTTTAGCTTTCAATAAGCGTTGGTCAAAAGAGTTTAACAAAAGCACTGTACGTCTCATTGGTACGCCCGATATTGGAGTACTGTATGGAGCCCTCAATACAAAGAGCAACAAATTCAAATTCAATCCGTTCAAACACAACTTTAACTTTTAACTTTTGCCCTTAAGAATCTGAAGTGGGACTCTGGCAGACGGTTACCTCCATACCGATCTAGGCTAAAACTACTCGACCCACCCTCCTTACACTATCGCAGAATTTGCAATGGCATCTTAATCATTTACAAGCTCATTCTCGGGCTTGTTGACTCCCAAACACTGTTGGGACAGATAAATTTTACAGTTCCTTCCAGACCATCCCGAACTTTCCGGCCTATCCGTTTAACCTTCTGCAGATGTAACTTCGCGCAGCACAAACCTTTCCGTGTTCTTTGCAATAATTACAATTCCTATTACAATACCATATCTCCCGAAATATTCCTTGATACGATTGTACGTAACGTTTACCATCACCTGAACCTAGCAAATTAGTAAAACCTTTATTTTCTTCATCTATTATATTTTTCTTTAGGTATTTATATTCCTATTAAAGTTCATTGTTAGCAGACAATCGTTAATTAATTGAAATAAATAAATAAATAACTAATTCTAATAACATTACACGGATGACAGTATCAAAAGCAATACAAAAATCCCTTCGATGGACCCTGATTTAGAAAGAATTAACGTGGATAAAAAAAAATTTTCACGATCCAAATCTTTTTTATATAACAGAGAGATAGATAATGCAAATGATTAACGGCTGGATGTCGCCCCTCTCCAGGGACTCCCATAAAAAGATGAGATTACATATTTATATACTATATTAACTGAGTACCAGGTATTCGTCTGTGTGAGTACCTGGTACTTTTATGTATATAAAATGTATAATGTATATTATATATATTGTATATTCTTAGTCAACATCAAAATTCGCGATAGAACCGTTATTGTCTGTCCATCCGTTTTGAGGAGCGCCTAGATCTCGGAGACTATGAGATGTCGCGCACACTGTGATTGAAAGCGGAGGTAAACACTTTTTAAAAGCTAACTTAGTTTTTTTTTTAACATGTACAATACACAAATGACAACTTTGCGTCACTGTTATCGATGTAAAAGACAAACAACGCAAAACTGCATATAGAGATTTTAAGCTTAGGTAACGGATTATGCAAAGATTATGTATAAAAAAAATTTCGGGAATACAAAAACATACTTTTTTTAAATTCAGGTCAAAGTTGAAAAACGGCCAAAAATGATTTTTAACTATTATATGTAGTGATAATAACCATTAAAATTTATTTATCAATGGAAAAAAAATGTTAGCACATAATGCACCGAAAACAGGCAAATATTCACCCGAATCAAAGTTCAAATTTCACTATTTATTGTAAAGACTCTAGGTATTGCAGCCCCATTTAATCTTGCTGACTAAATTTTGAAAGATTTTCCTTTCAAATACAGTTTATTTTAAGAAGACATTTTGATTGGATCAGACATCTATATCAGCGGCCGCTGGCAACGTCGAACAGTGGGGCCTTCGGCCATTTCAGCTTGCTAAATTAATAACTTCTAAAGGAATCAAAATGTCTTCTTAAAATAAACTGTATTTGAAAGGAAAATCTTTCAAAATTTAGTCAGCAAGATTAAATGGGGCTGCAATACCTAGAGTCTTTACAATAAATAGTGAAATTTGAACTTTGATTCGGGTGAATATTTGCCTGTTTTCGGTGCATTATGTGCTAACATTTTTTTTCCATTGATAAATAAATTTTAATGGTTATTATCACTACATATAATAGTTAAAAATCATTTTTGGCCGTTTTTCAACTTTGACCTGAATTTAAAAAAAGTATGTTTTTGTATTCCAGAAATTTTTTTTATACATAATCTTTGCATAATCCTTTACCTAAGCTTAAAATCTCTATATGCAGTTTTGCGTTGTTTGTCTTTTACATCGATAACAGTGACGCAAAGTTGTCATTTGTGTATTGTACATGTTAAAAAAAAACGAGAAGGAACGTGTGAGTCGCTTCTGGGGACGCGACTCTACTTATACCCGTACTCAGTCAGTATATATGTAAGCTTATAATTTATGTGTTTAACCTATACTATATATTTAATACGTAAGCTCCGCTCGAATCAGCTACCAATTTAATATATAAAATATATATAGCTAATATATATAGCTATATATAGCTTATATATATTTAATATAGTTAATTGGTACCCAGGGAACACCACGGGGAGGCCATCGCGAAGCAATGGGGTCACTCTAGCCAAAACATAATCTTGGGGACCTACGAGTTGACTTGAGCTGCTTTTAAAAGCATTTTAAGCTCTTTATTCCCCAAAAAATTAAAAAACAGGATTCCAATCCTTCGCTAAAAATATAAATACATAAATATACGTAAATAAATCTAATTAAAATAAAAAGCCTTAAACAAATTAAATAATTAAAAAAAGAGCTAAAGTACTAATTACGCTTAAATATAAATAATATAAAATATGTACACTAATGCCTGCTAGCTAAAAGAAATCTTTACTTCTGCCTCCCTAACATTAACTAAAATTCCACTATGATAACTATAGACAGTCTCAAAGGTGCGCGCGGTGGCCCTGCTATCGGAAATGTT